CAAAGGCTGCAAGGTGTTTGTATTTTAGATGTATTTTACTCTACTCAGTTTCAGTTTGTATTAGACTATTAGAAAAGCAAACCTCAGCCTTTTGTGTCTCAGTCAAGACACCAAAGACGCAGCAGCTCATCCACTACCACCTTCACACTCCTTTGTGCTTACGATGTTTCAAAAAAAATAAAAATAAAAACGATAAAGAAAAGCCCAATGCTGCCAAGAAGTCAATCTTATTTTAACAAATCAGCTCATACTATCACTGGTTTCAACTGGTTTCTGTTGTCAAATAATCTCCTTTGTCATGATAATTCAGAAATACAAATAGGGTAAAAATATGATAGAGACGTATATTATTATGCATGGTTGAGTCTGAAAAGTCAAGGGGTGGCACTGTCTCTCTATTAAAAAAGGTATTATCCTTTTTATGGCATCCATTATTTGGTGAGGGGGTGTCATTTTTCACATGGTGAAAAAAACAAAACAGACATCCTCAAGGAAAACCCATTTTATGACTTTTGGCAATTGCAATCTAAATGGGTTATTAGGTCTGAGTGCAGCTGGTACATCAGTCTTTTTTATTAACAATGTGCCTCTTCTGAAGCCATTCGGGGTCAAGTAACTTTTTACTTTGAAGCGGTTTATCAATTTGCCATTCTTGAGAAGATGCGGTGACTTTCACTCGTGTGTGTTAGGCATTTGTAGTTTGTGCCATTTCTTAAGCAGAGTCTTTGTAAAGTGGACAGTTAAAGCTAGCTCAGAGTAATCTTAAAAGTGCTGCAATGAAAACAGAATTCAGCTTATTGAAATGGTACAATAATGAAAACAGCTTTATCCTGTCTACCACTATTGTGTCCCTTTTACCACTGTGTAATAACTAACTATATACTTGTGTATATGCCATTTTATAAGCGTTTCTTCTTCTTCCATTGTTATTCTAATGTTATTCTATTATGAGGCTCTCATTGGTAAATCAATATGGATTAAAGTACCAGCTAAACGGACTGTGTGTAAATACAATGAAGCCAGTGACAGGGCAGAAGAAAGAGTCCTATCCCGAGGTTTTCAGTCATCCTTTTCACCCAACATGCAATCACCTCTCCTGCCTGTCAAAAACCAGAAATCCATTTCAAAACACTTAAGAGTACAGCAGTTCTATCAGGTCAGACAGAGGCTACAGCCCTGCTTCAAGCTGCATCAAAGAGAATATCTGCATAACCACAGATAGTCGAGCGGTAAATTCTTTTGCCTCTGCGACTATGTTTGCCTCAACAGGTCCACAGCAGTTTCAACTAATAAACCTAGTCCTTTGTTTCTCCCCACTGCCTGAGGACAGAGTAAAATGAAAATGTAATTAAAAATATAAAACTAAAGCAGCCCTGCTCTCTCCTTGAAAAAAGGTCAACTTTTTCTATAAAGTTTGTAAAAACATCTGACGTTACATGCTACATACAGTTTATACAAAAAACAAAAGCTTAAATAATAACAAGAATAAGAAAAAAACATGCACAACACAACAGAAGTCGCCTAACACAGCCTGACCAGATCTTCTAAGCTAAGTTTTATCTTCACAAGTTTAATCTGGACAGCATGCAGATGATATTTCAAGAGAGAAGAAGAGTAAAATGTGAATGATGGATGTTAATCTGCAGCCTTGGGGCAGCAACAGCATGATGTCCAAAGTCAGATGTCCAAAGTGACCTGATGGTGGAACAGTGACAGAGGAGGTTGTGATTATGTGCCGAGCCCATTCAAAGCTTTATGAATAAACAAAACCTTGGATCAACTCTGTAAGTGGGAGCCAGTGAAGAGAGGTCAGCACAATAGAAATGTGGGTTCTCTTCCTTCTGCCAAAGTGGAGAGTTTTGGACTGGCTGTACACAGTTAATCACAATAATCCAGATATGCTGAGATGAAAGCCGGCATAAGCACTTGCCAAATTTGGGACTGTGACATAGACAACAGCCCTGAGCTGAAGGAAATTGGCTTTCACAGCAAAGTGTTTACGTTTATCAAATTTGAAAGCGAAATTGCCCAAAAGATTTTTGTCATGTGACTTAATGCATAGCTGTAGGGACCTGAGACATCCATTTTCATCGGTGAGGGTCTTTGTTCTCAGACTGAGACCTTTTTTTTTGGCCATCTACCCTTTAATAAGCTTTCGGCTCTCAAAATTGGGACCCAAAAACGTATAATTAAAACAAACAACAACATAAAACTAAAGAAAGAAAGAATCAATGTGTCCAAAACGAGTGAGGGAAATGTGGTCTAATTTACTCTTTCCTCAATTTGTTTCAAAGAAATCCGACTGCGTGGGAACAGCCATACGCCACTCAGTGAGTAACACACGTTTGTCTATAAATAACGTTGAGGGATCTTTTTATGTTGACTTATTTGATAATTATACATCTAAGTATTGGAGTACCTTCTAAGTGAAGTACTCACACACACTACATTCATAGGGCAATGAGGAAAAGGTATCAGGGTGGCTCATTCTGCAGCAGCCGATACCAATGTTTGGATGCGTTTCACAGGCTTCAAATTGGGATGTCGTTATTTTCAAGAGTTTTGAGTGAGTCAGGCAAACAAAGTGGAATAAGGCCACCTCTTAAATTCCTCTACCGTTTGTACAAAAAAGCAGCAATTGTGAATAATGACTCTAGCACTGTACTGTGAGACATTTCCAATGAGGTCTTTGTACGTCAGGTGCAATAATTACTTCCCAATTACACAGACACACATATACATATGATTCACGTGACATCTGACTGATTTCCAAAATTTTCCATCTCCTGCTGGTTTGCATTCAGACATCTCCAGTTTAAGCCTAATGTGCCGATTGAACATCCCTAATGTGGATTAGCTATGCATGGTGGTGTCTGCCAGGAATCCTTCCCTCCCTAATGTGATATGACTGAAAGCGCTGCCATGTGTATGTGTGAGTTTGCACTGTGTTGACATAAAACCATACACTCTAAATAACTACACCCTTACTTTCTATTTTAACATCCACACCCTGAGGGATTAAAAATTACTAGTCTGACCTGGAAAACAACATTTAAAGAAGAGGGGATGCCATAAGGCACACAAATGACTGCCAACCACTCCCAGCCACAAGTAAAATCAAAACCCATTTAAAATAACGTTTGCGAACACTTAAAAATAGTTGAAGTCCTACCTAGCCATGTTACCTTCAAACTGATGTTATGATGAATTGACTGGGCTGTATGTTGGATAATAATGCAGACCATTCATGCCGAGTGCGCACTTTTCCTAATGAGTGAAGATTCTAATAATTTTACTACAGAGAACTGGTGATCTACAGGACCCTTGTGCAAACATACTGATCTAGTAGAGGAAGTAGAGGGAAGGAGTCTCTCAGAAGTTAAATGAGTATGTGGACATACTATATGACTTTTTATGTACAAATGTCTCCATGAGAAGTGACTCAGATCTGGTTCCAGACAGATTCTTAGATGAAAGTGCAGCCTATTAGTGACATCTGAAGGCTGTTCTGACATTATTTACTTTCTCAATGAAAACTCAACGTTACAATTTCACAATTAGATTGATCATTAAAACTCTAAAATCAACTTTAAGGTGCCACAGTAAATTACTTAGATGCCACTGTTTGTGTGTAGAACCAAATGCCAAGTAAGTATGGTGTCTTGAATTGAAAGAAGCGTGATAAATAATAATGTCCCTTTGAATTGAATTGATGCAGAACACACACACAGGAGAATACAGCATTTGATAAAAAATGCTTACTGTCTGAGTGCCAATGTCAGTGCTTAGCTACCGTTTCCCAGAAAAACTTGACCCTGAGCCACAGCCTACAGAGCAAAACTACAAATGGCTTCATTCTTTCAGCTCGATTGAAATATGTGGCTGACAAGAACCAGCATGATTTCCACAGTGATTGATTCTCGTGACAAGAGCTTGACAGGTGGCAACGTGTTACAAAACAATTTCTTTGTTTATCTGTACAACTCTATTTCTGTTTAAATGTTTCAACATCAAACTGAAGTCGAAGCCCCACTGCAGCCTTCAAATTGCTCAAAAGTATGCCTCACAGGTATCAGAACATCATTTGAGGGCAATTTTCACTCACAAAGAAACTCAAAAGTGTTAACCTGTACTATAAGCAGTGATGAGACAGACATCCAGGACAAACAGTCCCTGTGCAGCATCGCTGTGTTGTTGTGGTTTAGCAGCGGTTGCACTGCAAAAAAAACTTTAACAACCTAAATGATGTCTACTAAGTGCTTTTTCTCAAGGGAGGTTAAACAAGAAAACTTCCCCAGGATCATGTAATTATTTCACTTGAAATCAGTTAATCTCAAATTAAATACTTTTCTTAAATCACAGTTTGCACTTTTTTCATGAAACAGCTAGTTATTAGTATATAATTAGTATTATAATAATTAAATAATTAATTAATATGAATTCATGTTTTTGCAACTACTTGGATTAAAATGTATTTAATACAAAATTAAAGATGCTCTATGCAACATTTCAATGTCAATCAATCTCTCCCACATTAATGTTGAGACAACAGCAGACCCACCGTAACATCACGAATTTTGCATTTTCAGTGGGAGCTTTGGCAAGAAATTTTACTTGCCGGAAACATAAAGAGGCCATTGTTCTTCAAACAGAACTAGAATGCATTGCCGTCAGAGGTTTACAGCAACAGATGTGGAATAAATATAAGACAAACTGCAAAAAAACATTTGCCTCCTAAAAGAAATAAGATTTCAAACACACCTCATACAATGTCAGGGAAGGTTAATACCAATATCCAAGACTAATCACATTGTGGGCATGACATACAGAATTCCTCTGTGTCATTTATTAATCCTAATTATACATTAAGTATCCCAGTTAATTGGACTTTTAAACACGGTGCTGTGGATACTTTGAAATAGCTCATTGAACTTAATCTTTTTACAGTGTGTAGCAGCCCTCTGCACTGTCAGTGTATCAGTGTAACAGTAAAGTGGTACCTTTGAAGAAGCAGTCCTTGCTGTGCACCACGTAGATCCGTCTCCTCTCCAGGCAGGCGGTGCGGTACACCTCACAGTGGTTCTCGTAAAACCTGCCGTCTGAGCCACACACTGGGACAAAGGAGGGCCGGCATTTTTCCTGGCAAACACACTCAGCACGGCCGGTTTCTGCCATCAGCACACACTGTCGACCCCGTCCACAGTAGGTCCTCCGACAGGGACCTCCGTCTGGGTCAGAAAGGGCTTGAAGAGACAGAGACAAGGCTTTATTTATGAAAGGAGCAATAGTAAATAAGAAAGTTCATAAACTATTTTAAGAGAGAACGCTGTATACCACTGCATCCTTGCTGATTCATATTCAGCGCGCATATTATATATATATATATATATATATATATATATATATATATATATATATATATATATATATATATATATATATATATACACACACACACACATACATACATACACACACATACATACATACACACACACACACGATAAATATCAATTAAAACACAGCAACAAGATGAATTACACAGTATGCACCAGAAACAGGAAAAGCATAAACTCAAGCACCTCAAACACCTCCTGTACTGATCGCAGTTATAAGTAAGCGCTAATAAGTAGAAAACCTTTTTAAAATGCAACCTAACTCCCTACAAATTAACACCTCTTAGCATTCATTTGCACATAAATGTGTACATCTGTATACAGACACACAAAGACATGAATACTTTCACACATTATGCTTTACCTCCTCTAGCCCTCGTAACACACACACACACACACACACACACACACGGTTAACAACCACTGCTTGTGGCAGCCCTAAACACACACACACACACACACACACACACACAAATGCACACGCCAGCATCCCCATCATCACCACTCACTGCCTAGGACAGCTCACCACTTCCCCCGATTTAATCTCTTTGCACTTAAAGCAAGTCAAAAAGCTGCTGATCCAGCCAGACGCTCCACCTTGGATTGATCTTTCCCGACTCCATGAGCTTGACCAGGACCCCCCCCCTCTTGTTGTGATCTAATGGTTGGATTAATAGGTACATATGCCTTGAGGTTATCACAGTAAAAAAACAAAACAAAAAAAAACATGCTCATAAAAAATGTACACGCAGGGCATTTGGGCTTCTCAAGCCCATCTAGCAAATGTCAGTGGTAGGCCTTCCTTGAGTTTACACATCATTCATATGATCTTGAGAAAGCTCAATCAGTATTACCACACATGAATTACTCCTACACAGGCTCCTACAGAGTTTGAATTAATTGATAGAGGAGCAACTCCAGAGTTTATTAGACTAAAAATAGCTGTGTATTTTTACATGGAAATAAATACATTTACAAACGCAAATACATTTATAAAAATAATATTATACTTGATGACTATTTGAGAGTCAATTTGCTCTATATTCAGTTCTCTCCTTTTGTGGCTATAGGAACAGCATTGCACCCATTAGAGTTCTCACCCTTCTGAACCCCTGAACTCCCACACAATACTGTCCATGCTGTCAGAGAATATAAAAACGTGTCACAGGCCTGTGGTTGGGTGTTTATCTTTCAGTTATAGCACTTCTTTTCAAATTTCAAGCATTCTGTCTCTTTTTTTATTACCTTTGATGTTAACAAGCTCTGTTATTTTCCATGGAAACCAGGGCAAATATAAAAGGAGGTGACTGTTGGCTGCAACAAAGAAAAAAAAATCTAAAGTTGCTGCTCATAACAATTACATTTCAGTTATGGGACTGTGGCCACTGTGTTGATGCTGCTGTTGGTTAAGATGCTGAGAAGAGGTCAATATTATTATCCCTCTGTGGAATAAGGCTAAAAACCGTACTGGGTTCACTTAAAAGAGTTCAGTCTGGGCTTTTATAATCAAACTGCCGAAAACAGAAATTGAATTTTCCCGGAGTGTAATCATATCTCAGCTCTTAGCATATTCAATAATAGAGGTAATGCACTGTTGTCGGAGGACAAAAGTCCCTTAATTACATAAAGGCGATTCCAGGGCCGACGTACAGAGGTACACACAAGCAAACAAACACACACACAAAAAAACATTAATACACTAGCACCCTCCTACTCACTTTGAAGTGTCAGTGTGCAGGCAGGCATACACTCATGTGTTCAGTAACTGTCTGACACACAAGATCTGTGCTTGCAAACACAGGCACACTGTCAAATACAGTCAACATCATCACAACTGTGAGTCAGATGAACAAGCAATGTGAAGACGAAGCATTTTTCGATAGTTACATTTATACATTAAATGTTTACTCAACTGATACATTAAATAACTGATAGATTAGTCAGTGTGAAAATAATCAATAGCTCAGAGAAAAAAAAAACAAAAAAACAGGAACAGGCCACAGGTATGTGTTGTCTAACCTGACTTGGTTGCATCGACTACTTCTTAATCATAATTAAGTATTAGGAATCTGCTTGAGGTAGCTGTGGAGTTGGGGGTGTGCCAGGTAACTACCCCAGGGGGAGTGTGGGGGGAGAGGAAGGAGGAGGAGTAAGACAGACTCAATTCCTTTTTATCCAGTTTACTAATTGTTCTGTGTGTCTCGGCAAAACACGTGTGGGAAATGCAAAATAGCCCGGCTCCCTTGCGACCTTGCTGTTCATGTCAAGGTCGTGGACGATTACAAGATCGTTTGTATTCTCCAAGCGTGGGAGATTAAACGCTTAGCAAAAACCGTCCAGCCGCAGCTACCCACCGGTGGATGTACTTCCTTCTTCCTCCTCCTCCTCCTGTTTTCTTCCTCCCTGCCTCCCTTCACTCCATCACCCCTCTTGCCCTTTCCCATTTTGCTCAGAGAATAGAGTACATGAACAGCAGCCACTCAAACAACAGAAACAATACCACACAAAAGTTACATCTACAATACACAAGCTGTCTGACATTTAGCTAGTCCTAAGGCTTGTGCTCATCCTCGCTGTAAGTCCTTTGTTTCACGTTCTCTTGGACCATGTTGGATGCAATTGTTGCTTGCTTAAGAGGCTAAAAGTGTCGTTTGATAATCCTCCCTGTCTAAGCTGCAGGCACAGTGCTTATAAATGGCTCTTACAAGTTCAAACACTCTGCGGTGCCAAGCCAATGCCAAGCTGACCATCCAGATTCAAGCCTCGCATCCTGTCACTCTAGTTCTCTCTCTTTTATTCTTTTGTTGGGTCCTCTGTCTTTTTTTTTTTCACTATTTTGCTAATCTCTCTCTGTCTCTTTGTCAACTCCCGTCTGGTGCTGAGCTCTGCTGGGCTTCAGGGAAATTGAGACTGGACATTGTCCACTATAATCACAGATTTCCAGGACATGTTTTGCAAGGAACATTGTTGATTGATAATTGAATGGGAACAAGCGGGATTTGTACCAAGTGTTAAGACCATTGTGCCTTATCTTTTTGACATTTCGACAGACAAGGATAATTTCATTTCCTTTAATGCAGGCCTAAGTAGATGAGAGCATAACTGGAGGCACAACACGACCGCCTTTTCATTCGTCAGGAGAAGCTACAATCTTGTTAGTCTCAGCCTTGTTGTATCGTTGCTGTATCAAGCCATTGGTAATTTTAATCCAGAGCGAGGCATTAGATCTGTATGCACACAGTCACATATGCATTATACAGCACGCTCGCATAAAGAACACATCATACACCCAGGCAGAAAAAAAGAGATACATCACTTCACTCTGGAAGCAAAGCACTTGTGTCTAAACCCCTCGCTCTATTAAGCAACTAAAATATGCCTCAATATATTTATACCTGAGGCTAGTATCTCAAACTCTTTAAATCTGTTTAACATTTAAAAGGCAATCATAACAAACTATTTATTTTGTATTTAATCCAGCTCCGCAGAGGGAGCGACTTTGTTGTTTTTAAGACATTCTCCTCAGAGAGACAGAGGGACACTACAGAGCTTCTTACTAATTAGACTGGAAGAACATTTGCCCTGCTGATGTGGGACTCACTGCCTGCAGCACTACCCTGTTAAAACCGCCCCTGATCTATGGAAACACAGAAGCTGCAGTCACACACCCTTCTGGATATCAGTGTGTGACATTTACAGAAACAGAGAGTGGACATTTCTTGCCAGCAGACAGCTTTTGTTAGATGGTGTTCAGCCCCAAGAGCGCACCTGTGTCATCATTTCATTTCATTTGTGTGCATATAGTTGAGTAACATATATGTGCATGCATATTGCGCGTGTGTGAAATACTTGATGTATATGTTTTGCAGTCCAAGAAAAGCTCTGTCACATCTGCTGATCGTACAGCTCATTCCATTTGCTCTGAAGCAGCTGTAGATAATTAAATTCAGAGACGTGCCGTCAAACACTGTCTCCCCTGTGCCGGGCAGTAGGACAAAGCGCTTCTGACATGCAAGCTGAGCTGGAATATCAATGGACAACAGCAGCCCTTGGTGCTAGGTGAGATATGCTGTGGTATACACACAGATAAGAACAAACTGTCCATTTTGCTGCACTGTACCCAAAACGATGTTACTCCATTGAGGAAACAAACTGGAATACAAATAACTCAAGATAGAATGTACTGCAGAGTTTCATTTTAAGTTCCCTAGATATGGGAAACAAATGTTTTGCCCTCTCTTTTTTATGTTTTTGAAAATATAAGTGTCTTTTCTTCTTTCAGTTGAAAATCACCAATGTTTGATTTAAATTAGTGCTGGGCAACGATTAACATTTTTTATCGCGATTAATCGCACTGTTACGTGTAAAATTTAATAATGAATTCTAAAGTAGTGTATTGTGCAATTTTTATTTAAATGTACTGCTATATATACACAAAAGTGTAATAACATGTGGTTTGCAAATACTTAAAACAACTAAGGTGCTTTTTACCAGCAGTATTCCCTTTACACAGTAGCAATAACATATTTCTTATAAATCTCAACTTAAACACAAACGTAATCAAATATTAAACCAAAGCTATTTGCCACTGCCAGGGCATTACCTTTTATCTAGCTTGTTAAAACAAGTTACCATCAGAGTCCAATTTTCTTTTTTTTTTTTTTTTTCTGAACAGGTATCAGCATCAGGTATCTTTTATCAGGGAGCAGCAGAAACAGTCTGTTCAGTAGGGTTGGGACGATGTTTACAAAACTACATTGAAACATCAGGATGGACGATGGCATGGGGGGTGGTGGTGTAGCGGGGATTGGTGCGTGAGTTCACTCGCACAGACTTCACTCGGTTAA